GACTAAAATGATGTGACATGCTTCATGTATTTACCGTTTTGAATAGCTCTGGTGGTGCCGCTACAGCCCTGGTTGTTTTCAAGTACTGTTTCCACGTAAAAGTGTGAACCTCATCATCTGAAATTACGGAAAAAGCACAACATATAACTAAAGGGACGTATATAAAGGCAATCAGGGGGTGCACTTTTATTAATTTTTGGCTCTGAAAAAGGGAGGGGGGGGGGGCACGGGCATTTTGTGACCCCTATGAACTAAACCATTCACCTAATCATCAAAAATAAGCGAGTAATTAATCACGGTTTGCGATACGAGTCTTAATGGTAAATTTTCCGTAAGCTCTATGTTACGTTACCGTTTGGTGGCGTTAGTCTTCTGCCTGTAGATTCGCACCATCCAATGGGGTGAATATACGGACAATCCTCTTCACACCAGTAATCATAAGTATCATCCCATTCATCAAAATGAACCAGGAAACGGTTTCCAATCACATTTGTTACCGTGGCAACACATATAAGGTCTGGATTCTTRCGGTCAATGGCTTCCAGCTTCATGCCGATCTCAAACTTGTGCTTTTTCTCGCCGACTGGTCTGAAAAGATGAGCTGGGGCAGGATTTCTGCCTTGTTTCTTGAGGTACTTGTGCCAGCTAAACTCGCCTCTCGTGAAACCTATAAAATTACAGTAGTTTTGTTTTGAATGCATTGAAACTAGTTGAATATATGATTAAATAATACTATGTAAAGAGAAATACCATAACGAAACATACTGTCTACACAATCACAAGGATTGGTAGTTCAACACGTCACGTCCACTTTGCGGTAAATGATGAAATGGTCGGTTGATTGATACCATTCCCTGACCGATCGATCATTCAAAGACTCAACCTAAACTTTAGGTTGAGTCTTTGAATGATCGATCGTTCAGGGAATGAAGCGGTCTTCTAGGTACTTACTTCTAGGAGGGTGTAGAGTCTGGTTATTCTGCTCGCACCAGCCCATGGGGAAAATATCTACTGAATCAGAATTGGTCCAGAAATCGTAACATTCCGACCAGCCGTCGAAGTGAAGCCTTAAACGCGAGCCTTTAACGCGCACAATAGTGCACACGCAGATGTACGATGGATGTTTTGGGTCCACTGCTTCGAGTTTCATGTTYTTTTTAAACTCTTCACAAGGCATTGGAAACACATCGATGTCAGGATTTTCCTTGAAGAAATAATAACGTAAAGGACCGGCTAAAGTAACGTAACACAATTACGTAATAAAATGAGATAAACAAAACTATAGCTAACGTAATGAAACGTAACGCCGCGCAATAAGGAAACGCAATACAACTAAACAGGTGTACCTCTTACAGTCTGTAAACAACGCCGTGATTTTGTTCTATTAAAATTACAAATATGTTTGTACGTTAACGTAATGTAACGTAACACAGCATACCGTAACGCAGTGTATAAAGTAACGTGCTCATTGCGGAAATACGGTACGGTATTATTGAATAGAATTTAAACTTACCTGTTTGAAGACATTGACGGGAACAGGTTTGGATCCCGAGGTGTACAGGTAGTCAGTCCACGTAAAAGGTTTACTGAAGTTATACGGAACTACGAATAAAACAAACCATAATGAATCATKGGATTGCTTTTTGAACGTTAACAGACTTCGCGATTCGAGCTCGTTTCCATTTTTCAAATATTTCAAAGAGAGTCTACTACACTGTTTAAAGCCCGACACACGATATATCAGCGTTTTCTCAGCCTTTTTTCTTACCGTGAACATCAACAATTGGTGCGCACAACGCTTCTCGCGCGCCTCGCATGGCATTTCCCTTACGCACTTTCCTTTCGTGTGCGTCGGGAAGCCAAAAAAAAAAAAAAAACTTTTCAATCAGTCCGCCACTTCGGTTCATTTTCAGTGAGCTAAATAACATGCGCAACAAATCAACAAAGCACTCATTACACACCCATTGAACCCGTAAGGCATTGTCCTGTTGCTTCTACTGGAGGAATCTTGTGACGTCCTTTGGTTTTTTCACGTGGTGATTTTACTTTGAATGACGTCACTTGAGCCTCTGTCGATCCATCGATGAATCCTGAGTCTTCTCCATCCTGTCATGATATAATAATTTAGACATACGCATTAAATACTAAGATATCAATCACTTCAGTCTTATAATAAGTGTATGAAAGACTTTCAGACGGAGATCGATCAGGGTATACTGRAAATATTGATCAAAATTAAAGCTTACCGGGGAGGGGACAGACTTGGAGCTTGACCCTTTCTTGGCTTTMCCACTCTTTTTCTTCTTTTTTCCTGTTTTGCGTTCAATTGGATTGACATTGCGTATAAATTCTCTTCCTTTATTGCGTCTACCAGTGTACGATCCAACACAGGACAAGCTACAAAACCGGCCCGAGGAGCAGAAGTCTTGTGGTAGACCATAAATACCACAAACCTCACAACACAATACTTTGCCGTCGTCAGGAGGGCCAGCCATTAGGTCAGAAGAGGGTTTGTCTGAAACGAATCAAATTTCGATACATGAATTGTTGTTTTTATATGATTGTAATGTTTCCCATTGCAACAATACCATCGCGGGCCAGGATGTATTTCAACAACTCTCCCTCACGAGAGGAAAACTAACTAGACGCTCTTAGAGCGTAAAGTCGGGCAAGCTATTTTTGAAAATAGAACAGACAAAATGTATTACAATTGTACATTGTAAGTTTCTCTGCACAGTTCTTCAAAATAGTTTGAACATATCTTATTTCATTTCGAAATTCCACCATTTTTGAAAAGGTAAAAGACGTTGACTGTTTTAATGTGGCTTACCTGCATTAGCTGTACTCCATTCGTATTCACCCTTCTCTGTCTCAACTGTACTGACCATTTCTAGAGTACCAAACTCGTTCATTTTGAATTTCAAGTTACTTCCTGATGAAACAATGAGAAAAACTAATGGAGAAGAAAATGTTACGTTTAAAGTTTAAAAATATCCTAGTTCCTCAATAATATGCAACTTCTCTGCTCTTTTGTTAATTAAGAGTGTGATAAAAATTCGCGTTTGTAGAAAAATCGTTTTTCCSAGTGGCGAAGCCAAGTTGAAATCTTTACCGAGTGACTTAAAAAGAATCCACGAGGAATTCAAGATRTTGGCACATGCGCAAATATAGTGGGACAATTGCTACTTCCCTGTTAATTGTTTAGAATTGCTATAACTTTTTCCAAATATAAGTCAATCAATAAAAACTATTCCATTTTTAAGTAGACTAATCCAATCTACTAGCCATACCTGGAAGAGTTGCAATTCCGTCCTTCCAATCAAGGAACGAGTACATTTCATTTACGTCATCTGCCTCCTTCTTGACCTTGACAGTGTCATCAGGCGACTTGTCGTCAAAGGTGTCGTCGCTATTCTGAACTGGTGGTGAACTGAATGTCGGTGCATCCTCCGCCATTTTGACCCCTGGTGACAACCTATCTTTAACGCTTGATTGCGGGCTTCCTGTGCTACTCTCGRTTTCCTTTTTGATCGATATTTCCTCGGGTTTTGATTCGGCTTTGATGTCACTCGGTTTCTTGTTCGGCTGGTTATCGTAGTTTGTTCGGAAATCCCTCGGTTCCTTGGAAAGGCTCTCTTTATTTGTCTGRCCATCGCTTGGTATTTCTTTAGGCTTAGGAGCAATATCCTTTGAAGTATGTGCACTCGATGGCTTATAAAGAGAGATTTTCTCTGGGTTGGGACAGATGGTTTGTTTTTCCTTTGTAGTGCTTGGACTAGCTGTGGTGAAAGTCATCTCTGTGGCGGTGATATTTCGATTGCTATATGGAATATTCTCAATACGGGGTGTATATTCCTCATTATATGTTTGGTTATCAAATATTTGACGTGGCCTGTAACTCAAATCCATGGAATACTCTTCTCTTGTCAATGTAGGGACCGACTTTTTGACTCTCGGCACGTTATCGATCATGTTGTAGCTCCTTTCGTTTGAGGGGCTCTTAGAGAAGTTAGAATAAGGCTCCCTCTCAAAGTACGGAAGGTAACTACTGTGGTTAGCAGCAATGCTTTCTTCATATGTCGGCAACACTGATGAATTGAGGGAGTTGAGTGGCCAGTTTGACGTCGCGTTGACTATTGTTTCTGTCGGTACAAAAAAARMAYWKTKWTWTWWATATACCTTGGATGCCCACCRATGCGCTATAACGGCTACATTTTAAAAGTCATAGCATCTATAGACCCAGCCTTTGACACCTCTAGTGCTTTGCCGGCTATTATGTCCATCTGATCTCTAAACACTTCTCTATATATATTTTAAACTGACACCCCCTATTCAGTGCAGTGCTACAGTCGATTTGAAACACAATCGGCGCAGGTTTATGAAAGACTTAACAGAATTTGTGTTTTTTGATGTTTGTTGATTGTCGTGTGGGATCTAAGGTCGAATTTCACTAGTGAAGTAATTCACTAGAGCTCGTGTGAACAGAGACATTAGCAATAGTCGAGTAAGGGAAGCAGAATAACTACTGGAAACTTCCCGTTCTATTTCCTTAACTACTTTCATTTCCTTTTCCCGCTTAAACGAACTTCAAGTGTGAGATCATCTGAATGATTCAGCCTCTTTTAGCATCAGCATAAACAGCAATTGTTATATTTGCATCTACCAATGAGCACAATAACATATTTGTTATTATTAACCCGTGAAAAATTAACGTCTTAAAATTCTTTATAACTCTTTATAAAATTTTTGATATATAACACGCGCTCTTATTGGCTGACGGACGTGTTTTTATCAGAGGACAGAGACGCGCGCCGTTTTATATTTCTTGGGCCCTTTTGACATGGAGATAGGGTCACCCTATCAGAAGTGTCAGTGTCAAATCATATCCCTCCTCTACATGAAAAGTCGACAAGCGAGTTGGAACWGGGATAGGACTATCTTCAATGCTTGGACGCTAAGCTTCACAAAWAACAAAATGGCGGGTAGACGCTGACTTTTGGTAATAAATTCATTGTTTCTATCATTAGMGTCACTGGCTTCAGCTTTTCAGTGTTATGGCCTTCTGCTTTCAATGCTGATTGCTCAAAGACATCGTCTTCTTTTTTGAACATCTGTAGGCTCATTACATTGTTCTTTATCCTTCTCATTACTTTGCTGCCTATTTGCGATATTCTCTGMATGCTGGAAATCTTTGGAAATATTCGCCAGCTTKATACGYATGGAACGCCATTTTGATCTTTGTATGACTTGGCGCGTTAAATTTTGGGCGCGAAATTATGTAAGTTTCATGCATTTCTAGATAACTCTTCCCTAGGGTTACCCTACTCGAGCGTTTACATGGCGAAAAGTTGGCCCTCATTGGAGAGTCACCCTACCTACTAAATAGCGTGACCCTACCCCTAGGGTGAACCTATCTGGTATGTAAACAAAACACGAAAAACAATAAAGTAGGGTCACCCTTATAGGGGTAGGGTGACCCTCCTGTTAGGGTGACACTATCTCCATGCAAAAAGGTTCTTAATTATTGTGCACGTTTTTCTTGCCTCTTCGTGCTGTTTCCCTTATAAGAGGATATTGAATATTACACTTTCTTTCACTCAGGTTAATGAAGACAACTATACTATAACTATTGCTCAGCAAAATGAGTAACTATCAATTTTCATATTTTTGATACACGATTTATTTATGGCCGGTGATAACTTACCAATCATAGATGAACCCCCTGTCGATTGATGATCTTCTACACGTCGTTTCTTGTCCGGTGGTTCTTCCATATGAGAATAGTATAATCGATCTCTCGACGGTAGATGTTCGTCCATCATTCCCTTAGAAGAAAATTTAGCTATCAATAATCATTACCTATAGGAACTGGCGGTCGTGCAGCTGCTATTCACGTTCGAGCAACAGTTTTATAAATTTACTCGATTCATGGCCAAACCACTTCCTCGACAAACACAATTTTGCTGAAATTCAACAAGTAACACGCGCTGATTGTCTAGTGTAATCAAAATGATGCTCTCCGTCACGTGTCAACTGTAAAAAGTACAATAAAAAGCAACTTTGTTTCAAAATACAGTATTTCCAACTTGAAACAGCTCTTGTTCTATGTTCGTTATGTCCGTTTGACTTGCGCCTGCGATTACAGTGAACGTGCTCATAAAACGCGCCCAATTATTAACATACAAGTTTGTCTAGTTTGAACACTCAATGGCAAGTCGAACTTGCCGGGCTTGGATTCTGATTATGGGAATACAACCTATCTAAGCCGAAAAATACACTTTTCAACCTAAAAAAAAACGCCTTGTTGCAATGTTTCTCGGTATTTCGTCCGCTTCGAACGCGGTGATCTCAAAGTCGCTCTATTGAATGTAAATGAAATGACAACGAGAAGCCAATAAAATGAGTAATTTCCATAACATAAGTTCGACACGTGGAAATCAGCGTTGGTAAGTGAGTTACGGCTTATAGCTTATTAAAAAGTAATACATTAATTGTCTGTGGAAAAAAAATGGTGTGCGCCGGTTTCGCGTTTTTAACATTTTCAGCAGATGTAAAATAAGCCGTTGAGTTCATATCAAGAGAGCTCCTTTGTCTTGGTAATTCGTATAGTTGACCTTGTTTGTTTTACTAAACGGATTTACTTGCATTTACACATGAAAAATGTTAAAATGTTATTCAAAAACGTTTTTGCCAAAATAATGTCACGTTTGCACGATTCCCTGATGAGATATCAGTAAAATTATTAGTCAAAATATCGTATTGTGTATCAGATATTAAGAAAAATACTATAAAAAAAGGTTTTTGAATGCTGTAGCCGACACAAGACTCGCTTTCCACAGGTTCACGCGATTCAACGAAAACAATAACAAACCAAAAGGAAGTCGGAGTATGAAAAATGAAAGGATACATGTATAGGTAAGAGGTTTAAAAATAACTGAAAAAGAAAATACCAACTGCAAAAGAAAAAGAAAAAGAAAAAAGAAGAAGAAAAGAATGGAAAACTTCTATTAAAAATTAATACTAGCTGAATGTTTCAGTTTCGCCGTTTATTCGTATATTTCAGGAAAGTAGATCTATTTTGATTTCTGTTTTATCGACTTTTTGTAATAATTATTCGATGATTTTACTAGATTTGTTCCCTTTATAATTACAAATTCAAGAAAATACTAAGTAACGTTTTTTACCCTGCGTTACAGAGCTATTTACTTCGAAGTATTATTAAAAAACGTTTTACAATGTCGCAATTAATAACTTTACTAACCAGAAGTCAACCAAATCAAAACAACTGCAGTTATGACTGAAAACTGAAATTAAATATGTTGGTTAAATCCTGAGGCAACTGAATTGGTAGAATATGTAAAAAAATATATTAGTTTTGAGATACCGCTTGGCAAGCCGACAAAGTATATAAGTGAGATATTGAAGTCTTATATACATATATAATTCATAATATTCCTCAAATGAAACCATTCAAAAAAATTCATTTTTCTCTAATTTTCATGCGAATTATTCAAAGGAAAATGCGTTTGAAACGCAAACGAAAGAAATTCACCGATTGTTGAGGAATGTTTGGATACATAACACTTTGGTTTTTGGAATTCCAAGCCTTTGAGCACAAACGCTGAATTATTTATAGCTTTTGGAGAAAAAAACAAAAAAAAACTGCACCTTCAATAAGAAGTAGTTTAGAATAAGTAGTCCAGAAAGAATTTTATCTCTAATTTTTCAGAATGTTGTCACCACACAAATTAGTCGCGATGGTCGTGTATAAAGCTGTGTGAACCAGTCGCATTCTACACGATGCCGAGGAAAAAATCTCTTTTCAACGATTCATAATCTAAACTAACAGGTCTGAGAATGACCAATGATGATAACAAATCAATTGTTCTCTTTCATATCGGTCTTTTTAGCTTGAATTCTAGCATTCAAAAAGAAAACTTCGCTGATGGAAACATGATTGCCGACATATTTTTGAGCTGATTCACCCGACCTCCAGAGAGAAAAACAAATACACCGCTTGCAAATAATAAATACCGAGAGAATTAACTTAAAAACGGACTTCAAAGAACTGAAAAAACCGTACAGATATCCTACAATTCAAAAGACTGTGATTTTTTTAAAGCAATTGAAGAGTTTATTACGTCGTTGAAGGTAAATATATTGCTGAGAACATGCATTCCGTTCAGACCGTGCGGTGATTATCTTGCATTTCCGTAACAACAGCGAAAGGTACCGAAATATCCTGAAAAAATTACCTCGAAAATTGAATAACGGCAACCTCCTGAGGGAAAAAATCTACTTTAAAATGCATATTTAAAGCAAATCAAGACTGTTTATTTGTTTTTGCTGGAAGGATTCCTAACAAGAGATGTGATGTAATAATTTTCTTGGTTAAGATCTGTTTTTGCTTCAGGCCTTTGTCATATGTGTCACTAGTCGCCACGGTTGATAAATCCGTCCGCTCTTTCTGCATAAATCAGAAACTTCGACCGACAAACGGAGTTGAAAACTTTTTCACCAGACAATACACATCAAAAAAGATGAAAAAGAACAAATAAAAACCCCTCAAAATGATAAACAAACTCTTTTTTCGTGATAAAATGTCCCAGTGGTTTTAGAAAATGAAATATCGAATAACTGCGGACCCAAAATTTGATACTTGACCCCTTTCTTACCAGCATTTTTAGCTATTCTTTTTTACCCTACTGAGCTATCCAGAACTATTTATCTATGCATCTTGCCATTTTATTAAAAATAGCAATAAAAAATTCTTTGAAAGTTAAAATGAACTCGTGCGTCTGGATTCTGGCTTATTTTTAGTCCAATGAAAACATGGTTTCTAGAATGAACCGAGAGTTGCAAATTAATAACCGAGGGGGGCTTGCAGAAACGACTTTCCGGAGAATGACGATCTTGCAAAGCAAGCTAAATAGCTTCCAAAAAACATACAAAAGCTCTTGAACCATACTAAATAACCACAYMAAAGTCGTTAACATAAAGGGGGGATTTGTAGCGGTATTTGGGGAGATAAAAAAGAAGTTTTTAAGCCTTACCAGTCTAGAAGTGTTGGCAATGCGGACTTGACTACAATAATGAATTCAGTACGAATGACATCCTGGCGTGTCGCCCCAACTGTCAATCAAACGGCTCACAACAATAGAGTCACATGATTTTCCTTCTTATGCAAATGACCCGGAATCTTTTTCAAGACGGCGATGGTTTGGCTCCGATTTCAGTATTTGAAAATTCCCCCAAATACACGTTTTTCTGGCGAAAAGAAAACCGAAATTTCCACAAAGGCATTGTGTTTATAGTGTTTTCCGTGCTGATGGTTTAAAGTGATTTTCAGGGAAGGTTCAAGTTGTATTTCTGAGCTTTTTTGAGTGTAAAACCTTTGCGTCATCCTGAGTGGTTCACACCAGAGCACAAACCACAACCACGTAGGCAAGATCAGACTTCTTTTTTTATCCCGCTTTTTTGAAGACTTTTCTTCAAAAACCTACGCGAAATAATTCTAAAACCCAAGCATTTTCATTTTAAACGTTAATACATAAGAGGAATGATGTTTTTTGGTTAAATAAATTTGATACTTTGATAATGTGTTACCGATCAAAAAGGCTTTTCCGTCAAGATAGCGAAGGCATTCAACCACTTTACAAATTTAAACGGCTTTAAAAAATAACAGGAAAAAAATTTATTTGAAATATTGAAAGGTCTTTTAGTTTCAAGCACGCTTGTGAAAGCAAAAACAGCAAATAATTTATACTTGATTTCCTTGCTTTGCGTCCCGATGAACATAAATAACTCATATTACGACCCCTTGTTGAGCCATTTTTTACATGTGACAGCGTCAAGACGGCTTTGGAAAAGCATTTAGTTCAGTATTTTATTTTAATACGACTCCCAAAAAGAGCATTATCTCATAAAAGCCGTCCTTCGTCTTGAAACAATAGGTGAATCACCGAAAATACTTCTGTCGCTCGGAAGCTTGTATGAATCTATAATGACTGTGTTTTTAATAATTGTTCATCCGTGAATTTCACTCAGTAACCAACTAATTATCTTGTTGTTTTAGAGTTTTAATAGCAACAATTTCTTGATGGAATTAAATAAATCCAACTGCAACGAAAGTATGCTGGAAAAAAAAGTTATGTTTCAACAAGTCAACGAAGGGTTTAAGGCTCGTTCGTCCATGTCAATATTTATACAATACATGAAACACAATCCAATGATTGAAGGCGAATACATTCACCATTTTACACAAAAACAATTACAACAAAGCATTTTAAAGTTCTCCATATTCAATATTAGATAGTTGGAAATCTTAAGGAAACGAAGAAAGAGTTATTTTTTGAATGTTTTATGATGGGGTTTCCATTTTCAGTCGGGCTTGCTCTAATACGTCATCGCCTCAGCAAGGCTGAAAACAACCTTGACCAAAGGTCGAAAATTCGTCACTTTTTCAAGATCTAGAATAGAAAATACTATTGTTGGAAATATTTTCTCTATGATTTTTTAACTTAATACATAAAATACAAATGAGTACTTCAACTAGAGATTAAACCTCGAGCTCAAGATTAAGCTGGCTGGTTGATTGATTTTATTCTTTTTTAATATATAATTGCAACGTTTCCGAACGCATAAAAACAACAACATTCTAATAATTCTTTGAAAATGGGGTCAAAATGACCTAAAATATACTAAAAAGGTGTTAGTCTAAGCAAACGGCGTTTTGTAAATTTAGATCCGAAAACAAAGCTGCATTTAGTTGTGATAGTTTGTGTACTATTTTGAATTGAAAGTCTATTATCTAGTTATTATTAATATATACAGAAAGTATTGCTTTGTTAAATGTTATAGTCAATTATACTTCGTGTTTCGCAAAAAAAACATACGACTTGCGGACGTTAGAAAAATATCACGGTGTAACTAGAACTACCGGAAACACGCTCTGACCTCCGAGGATTTCGCCATACTTTTGTTACCGTGAGATATCTGGTTTTTAACCATGAAAAAGAAACACTAGTTTTCGTGTGTTTTCGTTTTTGTTTCAGCATGATTCATTCATAGTAATTCAGGATCAACAGGAGTCGATGAAAAAGGAAATTCTGTCACGGTCTAATTAGAAAAAATAACAACAAATGGATATGTGCCTTTGCTTGTTCTTGTATGACTCAACAAAATACGTGCAATTTTACGGAAAGCACTTTGTTATGTCTATGAAACAATTCACACAGCTCTTTCTAATGTGAATTGTATTTTCCAGTAAATCTGAAATTACCAGCAAATGCAAAGAAAAATATCAAGTAAGAAAATTGTGACTTAAAAAGGGAAAAAGGGGATTTCATAAAATCGTGGGATTTACAGTAGATTACAATGGAAAAATATGAAAAAGAATTGAATAAATTACAGATTAACAAAAAGAAAATTAAATTGATTTTCTGGACAAAAGTAGTGTTATTGTTTTTTAAGAAAGCACGTTTTTTCTGCCACAATAGGCCTAAATGTATTTTCAGTTTGTTTTCAATGATATTCAAATTTCACTTTTCATTGGCATTTCAGCTTTCGTTTTGAGCAATGTTCACCGCTTTATATAATTACTCTATCAGCAAGGTTTCAATACTTAGTGTATATATACTATATGCACCTAGATACCTACCTATATTATAAAAGAACCTACCTTTTTGTAAGGGTAAGAGATCACAATCTCATTCTTGGAAGAAGCTTTCGATGATTTTTTTTGTTTACGCTTTTGACTTCTTATCTTCTTACTGGGCGCAAACATAATCAATTTCCCGAGTCTTCTTTGGAAAAACTCGATCACTGCCAACACTATGTTCTATATCTTTTACAAAATTGAGCCTAATTACGGCACTGCTTGTACAGAAAAGTTTTTAAATTATTATTGTGAAATTAGCGAGTACTTATAGTATCGATTATAGTAATAATCAAGACGGCAATCGTGAAGACAGCAATTTAGTCACTCTTATAGCTTCTGAACCTTGTTTTCAATCTTAGAATGAGCGTTGAATTCAATGAAGGCAAAAAGGAGACTGAATTCAGCGAGTACGTGAGGGCTTAGAGTTTTCAGACAGCGATAATCTTGTCGATTTATTTCACCACTCCACGAATCCAATTAGTGACCATCTTTATCATTCTCCAGCTTGCCTTTCCGTTTCTTTATGCAGCGTATCAAAGAAAGAAACCAAGACTCCATTGATAACGCCACATTTCCCTTCACAATACAACCACAAAATTCTAGTACCGGATATTTTTTTGGATGAAAAAATGTTCCCGGCAGCCCCACCCTCATATAAGCGTTTGTTGTTTTTCTTTTTCTTTTCTTTTTTTTTTCACTAAGTTAAGCTAAACATAGAAGCAGCCAGACGCTTGCCACTCCCCTATATTTGCTATATAGTTAATACTTTCGGAGCTCCAAGTCTTGGATAGGGTCATTTTTTGCCAATTTGTCTGGGATAGGGCAGTCTTTTTGTCTGGGATAGGGTAGTCTTTTTGTCTGGGATAGGGTAGTCTTTTTATCTAGGATAGTGTAGTCTTTTTGTCTAGGATAGGGTATAGTTTTTCGTCTAGGATAGGGTATAGTCTCATTGTCTGGGGTAGGGTGAGGTTTTGCATGTGATACTATCTGCTAGGCCACGTTTTCAGCGCTAAAATRATGTACCTTTGTACCTTTAGTCTKGGGTAGGATATGTTAAATCAAAAAACTTGGTCTGAGATAGGGTAAGGGTTTTGAGAGTCGTGCGGCACACCATACATACATACATATTTTATTTGGAGTTTTGCACACACCCATCCAAGTTGGGATCGAGTACTTCTTCGATTGCTTCTAGAGTGTAGTCAAAAAACCCGAGAAATAAGTATTACATTAATRTACACCTTCTTTTGTGTCTACAGCCTTTTGCAAAAATTATGAGAATTGTTGAAATATCTAAATATCATAATATCAAGTGCATGATGGGTAATCACGCGCAATGCCCTTAGTCCCTTGTCTTTGTAGTTTAGGGTTTTTTTTGGCGACAGACTTATCCGTAGTTCTGAACATTTTCTCGATGTCAACAATGAATTATTCTAGCAAACCCGCGTGTTCCGGACAATATATGGATATGGATATTATGATAGTTAGATATTTAGACAATTCTCATAATTTTTGCAAAAGGCTGTATTTGATTATCACACTGTAATAGTCAAGTTTTGTTTCACGGGTTTAACGACTCCACTCTAGCATTGAAGATGTAACTTTTTAGAACCAGACTACGTCTTTTTAATTAAAGTAGGTGTAAGCTAAAAAAGATAACCTTTTTTGCCTGAAGTTAGCTTTATTCGCACTTAATTGTTACATCACTTTTGCCTTGTAACAGAGTTTCATTTACTGTGACAGTTTCAAACTTAAAACATTTCACAACACTTTGTAACTTGTTTTGCAAACAATAAAACAACAGCATTTATTTACCCCGTTCACAACATGTCGTTCTATTGATATTAAGCAGCTTTCAGCTGCCAGTTTTTACAGCACTGATTGACTCGTGAGATCTTGTATAAAATAACAGTAGTCGGAGTGCATTCATTATAATACCGACAAAACTCCACTTCAAAACCACTTCATGGATGTATTAAGGCTGATTTACACGGTACGATTTGTCGCGCGCGACTTGTAGTATA